GTCAAGATACCAGGATACTGGTGAGGGACTGGAGCTGCTGCTGTCCCTCATGTTGCTGTGGTGTCTATTGTTTGTATATGCTTGTTTTTAAAGTACGGCAGAGTGAAAGTTGAGATCTAACTGCGTTTCTGTGCCAGTTTGTTCCTTTGGAGGAAGAAATAACAAAAAAATGACACTAAAAATTAAATTAAACAGTCTCAAGGCGTGTTCTGAATGCAGAAATAACTTATTGGATTTAAACTGTACACACTGTAAAAGAGTGAGACTCAAAATGTGTTAGATAATAATAATATTATTACTATATATAATTCTAGATATATGTTCCTAAATATACAGAATTGTGTTGAACATTATCATATAGATAGATAGATAGATGTTAATAATATAAAATAATGCCTTGTGTATTTATTAATTCATGTGTTAATCAGTTTATCCCCTGCACATAAAATAAATTACTTTAACTAGGTCTTATCGTCAGAAAGTCTACATTCTAAATTGTAGAGATATTATCATTATTTTTATTGGTATTATTATTATCATCTCGTTGGAAAGACAGAAAGCCCTTTTAGAAACCCGTGTGCGCATTAGCAAAGTCATCCCTCAGCCAGCAAATTGATTCAGGACGCATTGATGAACATCCTTATGAATTGGTAATTGCTGCGAGCGAGGAGACAGCTCGGCTCGTCTCCCGCATCAGACCTGATTCTGCGGTTTCAGAAGGTTGAGCAGCGCTGATTCACCCGATCGATGAGAAGACCGCATCAATTAACACTTTGAACACTGTGAGTGTGTTTATGCGACTGTCTTATCACATCACCCCCAGCATCATCATGTGCTGTAATGAAAAATAATGTATTTAAGTTCGGTAAAATAATAACACTTATATAATTATCTTAGATAGATAGATTTAATCAGCATTAGGGCATTAGTAGAATTGCATCTTTTGTTTTGCAAATTCACTTCCACGCCTCTTCAGCAGCTTAAATGCCTCCGTGCCATCTCCGCCATAGAGACACTAATAGTTTCCTTTGTCACTTCAATGGGACCCTAAACACATTTGTTCTGTGATTTGCTTTTGAATGTGACACAGAAGAGTTCCTGTAAAGTAAAGTTTAGCATCGCGGGCCACACACACGCTGCTGCTGCGCTCTTATTAAATAAAGCCGGTGAGTAAAGGCCTGAGTGCAGCCAGTGCGCCGGACAAAATGGCCCCCGCTTATTATGAATGATAATTCTGATTTAGCAAGATACGGCGCTGAAATGCGTAGGGTCCACATTTCGGTTTGTACTTGTACTTTAAGGGAAAATCAAGACGCTACATGCAGTGCAGTTCTTAGGATTGAGCTTTTAGAAGGATTCCCCTTAAAACCAAGGCAAATAACCTCTCCTACATTTTAACTTGGCTATGTTTTATATTAGTGGGAATTAACTTTACGCATATTTGCCGTCTGGTGGAAACCCCCTCTTCACCAGCCAGAGACAGGGGATAGATTTTTAGGATTATTATTCATCTTATCATTATTTATTTTTAAGGCAAAGGAAGGTTTGTCTGTCTGGTGAACACCACCTGGAAATAATAATATACAAACCTCCTTCCTCCAACACATTCTAATGCTCTGCTACTGCCTCGCAATGTCCTTTATAATGTCACTAATAAAATAATGATGACGAAGGTGAGGGGACCTCCACTGCTCACAGAAAAAGAGCAGGGGGCAGAATAAATGCAGTGGGTCTGATGAGGACTGTGCCAACTGCAAACAGGCACAGGAAAGCTCCTGTGGAGGTGTGATCTCACCCACATAAAAAAGGGCCTGATGGTGCGTAATCTTACCACCGAGTGCAAAAAGAAAATCCCGGGCTGCAAGTATGAGATCTTTTTGTCTCGGTTTAGTTGAAAATTTATGCCAGGTGAGATTTATTCATGCGGAAGAAACCAGGAGAGTTTTTAGAAGGGGGTCGTTATTACGCACGAAACTTTTCCACTAAACTAAAGTGGCACCGTCACGGACAAAGTTTTCACAGTTGCTTAAACAGGCTCTAAGGCTTATAGATAAGAAACAATAGGCAATTTCAAGTCTTCAAGTTTGAACCATATACTGCACAACAGGGATGCATTAAGACAATAAACCCAGACAAACGGCATCGACGTGGGTCCCCAGCTCGTTGCCCTGGCCTGAATATCATTATGGTGGCTGCAGTACTCATAGTTCTTTTTCTCTCTCCTGTGCTTCCTTTCTCCATCATAAGTAATTTACAGCGGAGAATAACCAAACCGCCTGAGCGCTACACAAGACTGTCATCGACACAATTTGTCTCCTCTGCTGGAAGTTCAAGAGCCAAGGCCTCTCCTGCGCCCACCAAGTCCACAGACCCCCCCTGACCCCGGCATCAGCGCGATGCATCAACTTCTAATTCAAAAACAACTAAATTAATTTCATGATCGAATACAAGCAGGGGGAAACTAACCTTAAACTTCAAGATCACAATTCAGCGCACACATAAAACTCAGTAGAGTATCAAATAAAAATAATTAATCAAATTAAATAATGTAAAGTAAGTGAATAGATCGAAATTATCCATTTATGTTAATAACCACTCTAGCACTCAAACACGGGTGAAACCCAGGGTGTACTAAGTCCATAATTAAATAATGAAAAACAAAATTCTGAAGTTTAAAGACTTTGGGTTTAACTACTATCCCTCCTCTCGAAGCTCGCGTGGAAAAAGATAAAAAAAAAAGAAGAAAGAAAAAAAGGATAGAAAACATAGATTAATGACAGAAGTCTTTTCCCCCGGGCTGTGTGACCCTGGGACCCGGAGAGAAGCGCGCTGAGGCCGGGGGAAACCTCCCCAGAACCAGGCCGCTCGATTCTCCCCAAATCGCCATAAAAACCCAGAGATCCCAGAAAAGAAGTCTGAGCAGCGGCGGCCATAAATCACCGGGCTGTATTAAAAGCTTAGGTAAACCCCCTGCCAGGTCAGTCGGGTACAATTTATGGAATCACTTATGCAGGGAATAGATTGTTCTAACGAAATAGATCAACTTCGAGCCGGTGCGAGGCAGAGTCAGTGCTATAGTCAAGAAAAGTTCTGCCTCACTCCTCCTCTGTCTCTTTATTTTACCTGTGGAGCCCCTGACTTCTGCACAAGAATCCAAAACACACTCAAACCTTGTGTTTTCAAGCACGCTGACCTGCGGGGGTCATGGAGAGGGGTCCAGGGGGGTCCCTGGTAAAATATCCCGAACCTACAGTTTTCAAAATGATTGTGTGCAGACATCTAGATATCTTTCACTCTGTGCGTAATCCATCACCCGAAAGTAGTTTGTTAGTTCTGAGATGTTTGAGCGAATAAAGTGGCTTCTGGATAAAACCATGACCTGCTTCTCCTCTCTGTTATCAACAGTACAAATAAAACAACAGCCGTTATCAGATAAACTTCACACTATATTTCCAGTGCCCTCAGTTCCCAGTGTGTTCTTCACCTCTGGTCCCGACAGAGGAAGCAGTGGTGCGGAAAGTAATTTAGTCTGAATGGTGATTTCACGAAGATATAAAAAAAGCAGTGGGATGTTTTCTCAGCACCGACTGTAACAGGCCCACGGATGTTTTCTCAAATTAGGGTCAATACACAGAAAACTTCGCTTTAAATCCTATATGTAATGGAGGTTTAATAATTTAAAAGAGTGAGGTAACACTTTCCATGCAGTGCAAAAGTTTTCTACTTAAGTCTTTTCAGCCTGTACCTGCGCGCACACTACCACCGTGTTTCTGCTTCACTTCAAATCAACTAGAGGACCGTGAAAGAAAAAGCTGAGTTTGATAAAAAAAAAAATACTGGTCCTATCTGACTTTTGCAGTTCTTAAAAAAAAAAAAAAAAAACTCTTTACGCACGGGTCAAGAAGAAACACTGGGAGAGAAACGCGATCACTGAGTCAGTGGCCCACTGTCCTACTTTCCTACTGGCATCACAAGCCAAACGGGAGCCTCGCCTGAGCCCCAGCATTCATAGTTAAAGCTTTCGCCCCCGTTTCAGCCTATTTCGCACTATCGCTTATTCTGATTCCCCCAAAAACTCGAACAGAGGGAGTCGTTGGTAAATGTACAGAGAAGAAATATCCCAGGAGTAGGGACACTAGCCTATATTCCGCTGGGGAGAAGAGAGCTAGAATTTCCCATCGATTTTACGCACGACGAACGTCAACACTCAGCCAAAACAGATGGCTCAGTTATTGAAAGCAACTGCCATGATATATAACTGCACATAAACAGTCGATGCCACTTCAAGGAAAAATAAACATTAACGAAAGTAAAATCGAAATGAACACAGAGATAAATGAATGAGTGTTAATTTGATTTAAATCACTAAATCATATTATGCGTTTTCAAAGCGAATGTTGTGCATATTGTGTAAAATAATTGTGTAGTTTGCCTGAATGAAATAAAGATCAAAAAGACAATTAACGAGTTTGTTTTGGATTCGAACTGACAGTGCACATGTCAAAAGGCCACACACTCACAGAGCACTATAATACAAGCTGCCGACCTGGGGGGGAAGTGTCTGAGGGTGGGAGAGGGGAGGACTAGGGTGCACGACTCCCCGATGGGATACAGTGTAAAGCTAATTTCCTTAAAGTGACGGAGAAAGCACCGACAGTCGGCAAAAGCTGACTCTACAGAAGAATACACAACCCCAATTGAAATGGATGAGCGCTCGTTGACGCGCACAACAATACTGTATTGAAACCTGTGCCGGCCAATGCGCCTGGCTGCGTAAAGCCATTAACGATCCCTTAAATCCAACCAGATGGTCACTTTGAAAACGAAATGTTATTTTTTTAAATTCGGTAATGGTAGAAAATAGAGAATTTGGGTATAAAGGAGCCTCACCCCGCTGCGGTGCCCAGCCTGAGATGCATGGGTACTGTCTCGCCTATGGAGGAATAATACGCTCATCCTGCAAAGCAACAAAACATCATGCAAATATGAAAAAATCTTACCTTCAACGGCGGACACCATGGGCAGCAAGAGGCTGCATAAAAGCAGAAAGTAATCCATTGTCATAAAGCAGTCAGGTCGGACATGTAAATAGACCCACGGCAGAGAGTGAGGGCAGGAGTACAATCCTGGGTGATCCGACGCTCCACGCACCCAGTCCCGTCCCTGTCCCAGCTGCGTCAAGCCTCCAGCACCAGAGTTATCCCCATTCACCAACACTCACGTTGAGGGGAGAGTTCAGAGAGGAAAAATAACCACCGTGGTGGAAAATGCGTGGATACAAACAGGCTTTCCGCCCCTTTCAGTGATCTCCAAGCGTGCGTTATTAAACCAGGGAGAAGGCAGCAGGCGCAAGTCCTCCAGTCCCTTCCCCTCGCATGGAGCGAATCGGCTGTAAACAGGTAGTCCAGTCCGGGGTGGTCACCATCCAGGAGAATATTCCCAGCAATATTTTTCGATGGGAGTCAACGAGGGAAAAAATAAATTACAGCCTTCTCGATGAGATCCAAAGAGTTTTTTTTTCTTTCTGCGGTCAGAGGAGCAGCCGCACTTGTGTCAGAACCATGGTGAACCGTCCCAGCTCCGGCAAGCTGTGCGCTCTCTCATGCGTCCACGGTCGGAGATGAATAATTCCTGGATGAAGACACAGCCGCGTCTGTTTGAGTAGATATTTATTCCCTGAGCGAAATGTTGTGAAGCTGTGGCTGCTGTGTGAGGGGCCGTCTGCTTCGCTCGGCTTGTGCACTGGAATGAAGCGCACACGGCTGTGGAGGAATAAGGCGAGAGAGAGACAGAGAGAGGGAGAGAGAGAGAGAGAGAGAGCGAGAGAGAGAGAGAGAGAGAGCATGGGACACTAGGGGGGAGGGGTTACGTGTGAAGCAGCTGCACATGAATAAAAAAATGTCTACCTTGACATCATTCACTCTCACATTCATTATCAAAAATCCAATCACCAAATCACAGTGTGTTAAATACAACACGTTTACTTCTTCCACGAGCTGTCTTTGTTTTACGCACAGTTGAAGCAGCACCAGCCAGTCTTCTCCTACTTGCCTGTGACAAAAATAGAACAACATTTTATATATATATATATATATATATATATATATTAAATATTTGCATACCATTTTGATATGGAGCACAATTTAAAAAGTGTAACAGCCGTATTAATTGCTTATTTATAATATATATATATATATATATTTGTTGTATTTCAGTTGTTTTAGCAGCGTGTTATTCTGCCTGGTCTTTCTTGGGACTCCCAGCCGCTGCACAGTCATGGACACACAGCGCCCCCCTGCGGGTCGCTAGGTTTTGATGTGAGGGAGAAGTGAAGTTTCTGCTGAGGTTTTTTTTATTCCTTTGATTAAAATTATTTTTTCGATACTAACATGACTGCAGAGCTCTAGAACATGCCCGAGAAGCTAAGGTGGACACTCGTGAATATTTCCCCCTGAACCTAAAAGAGTCACCTCGTCCATTTTGAGATTTTGTGTGAGCATGAAAAGGATCAAACTCAGCCAACATCACATTCTATATTCTAAACGTTGCTGTAGAACAAAATATATGAACAAAGAAAATGCTTAAGGGTTTGAATAATTAGCTCATAAAATATTAAAATTTTCCACCTATTTCGAGTTAAGAGTGTTAAGAAAAAATAGTAGAGTCAAGAAACTTTCTTTAAGTTTATGTGAGCAAAACTACTGCAATAATAATAATAATAATAATAATAATGAAGCCAGACATTTAATTTCATCTGTCGAGCAAAAGCAGCAGTGTGCGTGTGTGTGTGTGTGTGTGTGTGTGTGTGTATTTCTTCTTCGGTGAAGTTACATCTGTCCATGCAGGCTTTAACAGCTCTCCTCCCCCACTTGTCTCTCTGGCTTTAAAGTCGTTTTATTGTATCAGTATAAATGCTTCGGCCGATACTCAAAACAGCAGTAAACAAAGTTAAAGGATGTGCCAAGAATAATGTGTTTTAGTCCAAAGGGGAAACCTTTAATATGTTATTTCTTTTTATTTACAGGAAACAAATACAACCGCCTGGAGCACGTTTTTCAGTTTTAGGGGTCATGATAGGTGTATAAATGAAGGGAAATGGCCATTTGCTCTCTCAAATAAAATCCCTGTTGTTTGTGGAGGATTTAAAAGGACCATTGACAACAAGGAGCAGTGACTCAACTCGCAGGTTATTTGCAAAATAATATTTGAACGAGATTGGCACTTATGCTGAGAAATATTTAGGTCATTTAAATAAAAATAAAAAATCATAAATAGTGCGCAGATGAATCGAATGAAGTCAGAAATAACAGAGCCAGAGATGACAAATTAAGTTCTCCAGTATGAAAGGCAGCACAGTCAGCATTAATTCATCTCAGTAGCAGAAGTGTGTATTATTAATCATGTTGAATATTGATGTGTTCAGTGCTGTATGTGGCGAGAAGAGAACACTGCTCTTCACATCCAGCTAATGTAAGGAATCTGCAAACTACGTCTTGTAGTTAACTTCATTGCGCAAGTAAAGCTTAGCACTTATGTTACAACAATGGAATCTGTCGCCTGTTCTGCAGGTAGAAATGTTGTAGGCGTCTTAGGAGGAATCCAGACCTGTGAAATGTCAAAGTGAAGCCAAATTACTTCTCTGTTAGAGTATAAAGTTGAAAGGGGATTGGATGCCATTTCCTGCAAGGTGCAACCATGTGTTCTGTTGTGTGTGTTGTGAGTCCGTCTGTGTTGCCACTGTCAGAGATTTGACAGGTAATAAAAACTTTTCATGACTTCTTATTGAGCCATTTGGCAAATGTATGTAACTTCACAGTGAGCACTACCAATCAAAGAAGTTGCACAATTCTTTTGAAAACTTTCCATCTGTCCTGAATTACATTTGTCAATTTAGAATAAAGTTGTTTCTGTCTGTGAAAGTGCTGACATGTTTACGCTCATCATGCTGAAATGTTGGTGTTTGATAAATATTGGCAATATTGGTATAACAATAATATCATACAGCAGTGCATTGAAGTTCCCAGATAGGTTAACTTTCCAAAATAATTCAAAGCTCGTGCATATCTTTGATTCATAATGTTTATAACATTGTAATTTAAGTAAGATTGAAACTTTATGCTTGGAAATGACCTTGGTGCATGAGGTGACCCAACACCTGTAAAACGGTTCTAAATCTCTTGAAAGGAAGCTCTCAACTCTATGGTGTCAAGCTTTGTGCTACAGGTCAACTTGAATATGTCATTAGCAATGAACTTTTAGAATCAGGAGGGCGCTCATGCCTACGCCACGGCTAACTCCCTATCTTGCCATGTCACAGAAAGTTGAAAACAATCCTGCATCCATCATCCATTTATCCAAATCCACTCCAAAATTTGATGGATTCCTCCTTGCATCATGCCAAACCCTCTACAAGATTTAATAGAAGATGTTTCAATAGTTTTTGAGTAAATATTAGAATTTCATTCTAATAATATATTTCTGATGTGTTAAAGGTTGCCTCAGATTTACGCAAGGTATATAAATGATATATTTTGCATAGCATGTCTGACTTACACAAAGTCTCTCACATATGAATTCCTGTTTATTTCACATCTATATAATCTATTTGAAGGAAAATTATTTAATAAGTGAAGTGGGTAAGAAGATCTGAAGTAGCCTCATTTGTTTCCAAAACCACCAAAGCCCGAGTTCGTGCCACCTGGCCGTCATTACAGGGCGACCACTGGGTTCACAACTAACACCTCTGTAACTTCCATATCCCTCTGACTGCTTTTAAAAGGAAATGGGGTAGAAAGACCAAAGAAAAACTTTGCTAAGAAAAGAAAACATAATGATAACTTTAAGATTTTAGTTCTCATTTGTGTTTTTACCGATTTTGGTTGGGAGCAGGTTACAACTTTTGAAGTTTTTTTCCCACAGGATCAAAGAGAAAAGATGCCGGTCTAAGATTACCAGGAGTGCTTCTCAGAGAATTCCTCAACCTCTAGCTTTGTGCCAATGTAAAAAATAAGTGTGTCAAACCATAAATATGGGCTTGATATAAACCAACACACTAGGTGGGGGTACTTTTTCCAATGGCTGGAACATCCACATTAATAAATCACTGGTACTGTTCTTTATAGCCATGGTAAAGTTTTTACAAAACTTATGGAGCAGGTTTATTTTTCTACATTTTATAGTGTGTGTCATTTGAGAAGGTTGAGAGTTTCCCCATCTATGAATGGCAGCAGTAAAACTGTACATACAGCTCCGTTGTTATATAATGACTTTAACGGGTCAAGATTAGCGTTCAAAACACCCACCGACACACACAGATAGTCTATTTCTGGAGACCTTAGATTGATTTTTTTTACTTCTTCCTGGAGGCTTAGCCATTACCCACAAGCAAAAAATGCTTGTCCCTAACCATTACCCTATAATATAATCTCAACGAGGACAAGAAGACATTTTAACTTCTCCAAAACCAGATTCAGAGCGCAGATTTTGTCCTGGAGCAGCATCTGATCTGCTTTGAAGTCCGCAATTAGATCCAAATGAAACAAATACATATAAACACACACTGTACACAGGCACAGAGAAATGGTCCAGTAAGTGCTCCGGAGAAGCACCTGGCTCGCATTATGAAACTCAATAAGTAAAGTGGCAGACATTTTACTGCCATATGGAAATTTCTCAAGCTTACACCTACTGCGCCCTTGCTAGACCCTCGCTAACCTCATCCATCCTTCCTCCCACTCATCCTGTGCCAGGATATCAGTGTCTCTACTTTCTCTCTTAATACAGAGCATGCACACACACACATATGGACTCAAGACCTTTACTGACACACAGCAAACTTCTCTTCTCTGACCCTTCCTCCCCCACCAATCATATGGCCAGACACAAACACACAGATTTAATTTGTGCATGCATAAAAGTAACTTTCCACACACACACACACACACACACAC